GCAACAGCCCAAAAAGAGCTATCTTTGTGATTCAAATGTCCGAGGCATATTGAAGATACTGGTTGGCAAGAAAACAAAAAATGCAGCAACTATTGCGTTTGTCAGCGGTGCCTCAATGCGACCGCCACCACTGGATTGGTCACCTTCAGCATGTACATCTTTGGGGTCGATGCTTGGACATCAACATCTAGGCTTTAGGGCCTAGGGAATTGCAGGGAACCATGACACTCTTCCCTCCCCCAAACATCCCCAAACTAGCGCGGAGCCCCAACAAGGCCTTGTCAAGACTGCAGTCCTGTAGGTTCCAGTTAGTTTGGAGTAGGGGGCTATAAAGGCCTGGATGGTTACAAGTGTTCGTCCCTTATAACCCCTGTATAACTAGAGTATACTACACCACAGCGTGTCTTCAATTCCTAAGAAACGCTACGTGAAACTAGTATCTATCGCGTTTTCCAATGGATCTTCCAATTTTCATTTTGTATGCCCTACATAAGGTTCTCAAGCTACCCAACCATGACAGGGGTCTTGAGTGGGGTCTGCTGATGCCTCATTGGGGATGATGATGCTCTCCTGCTACCACACGGTAAAATAGTCGAACTTGCGGATCCCTCCCCAGACTAACTTTACAACCCTACCCTTGCAGTCGCGCCTTTGAACCAAATTTGCTTAAAGTGCAATTGTGCGTGTGTTGATCTGCTAATGATATACAGTAGTTGTCCCACAACTACGGTTACTCCAACACACGGAATCCTGATCTCAGGCACCCCTCTTGCCAAACAGCGACCCCCAATTTGCGAAAACCCTCATATCAACAAGGTGTTCATTCGATCTGCCAGATTGTGTTCCTGCTCCTCGTATGCTTGATGTTGATCAGATTTTCTGCCCTCAGCCACTCCAAAATGAGGGCTTCCGAAACCTTAGGGGTCCTTCTGGGGTCCTTACCACACAGATTATGGCAACCTTGAGTGTAGTACACTGGGGGCGAAAACTTTAGAACAAAAGTTCCTAGCGCTTCAGTATGGAAACTCTGAAAGCCCGGCAGACCTGGCAAGTTCCGGGCGGCTAAGGGGTTTTAGGCTTTAGGGTTTAGGGGTTTAGAGTTCAGGGTTTAGGGTTAATTAAGGGTTTCGGGCACATGCACAAGCATGCGACTAATACCCAAATCCTCAGACATGATCCGGACGCCAAACCATGGATTCATCAAAAAGATGCAACCTTTTAGGGCTTAGGGTCTATGCGCAAACCCTCAAAGATTGCAGACCCGTGCACTCAGAGACATTCCATCCAGCAGGAAAGAGGTGATAAGATAGGGATCTGACCTCACTTGGAAGGTCAGGGGGGGGCTTAGCAAGTAGGTTTAATTGGGGTTTAGGGTTTAGGGGAGTGACCCTAACTATGCCGAGGATTAACCTACTTACTAAGTCCCCCTGACCCTCCGAACATTTGCTTGATGACCCGACGAAAGAATTTCTTACTAGTTCTTGCCATCCTGCCCTAGGTAGGTATGTTACGAAACACTATAGTGATGTTCCAATAGGGGCTACAGGAGAGATAGGTTCTCGCCTGCTGACAACTTGAATGCTTTCTACCTAGACGCTCAACCTTACAAACTTCCATAAAAAGCTAGTTTCATTTCATCGTTCACTTAGTTTTTCATTTCATTATCCAGAATTGGTATTGCGTTACATCCTAAAGCTTTCTATAAACCCTACATGCACCGATTCCTTATAACCCTACCCCTAAGCCCCATACCCCGTAAACCCTAAATCCAATGCTATGCTTGTTGATGCTCCACTGAACTGCACAAGTTTTTATCACAACGAGGATTCTACAACAATTCTGGGGCGTTAATAGAAACGGTTTAAGAACTAGGGTTTAGGGGTCTTGGTTTCGAGGTTCCGGAGTTTAGGGATTAAGGGTTTAGCTGTTCAGGGTGGAAATTTGAGAAAAACGGGACGCTTCTTCATGCCCTCCACATACTGTAAACCTTGTTTCAAGGACCCCCAAAGCTTAAAACCCAAGAATTACCCCACAGTGCGGGTTGCTCAAATGGAGTATGAAGCACAAGGTGCACAGACGTGTGGCAGAATGTGACTGAGTGAGATGTCACTGAAAAGTAAACCAACTGAGTGGTTGTCAAAATTATG